TGATGTGGCGGCTGCCTCTTTCCTTGTGCTTTGCCAAGGGCGAAATTGATCCTGTCTCTCGTCTCTCCTTGGAGGGGCTTGTAACATATGAAATATGATTTTTTTTTTTTTTTTTTAGATTATCCAGCTTTTACTCATTGTTGAGGTGGAAGTGATACTCTCTCGCAGCTTTCTGTGTTCTAAAGGGAAGTGGATTAGAAGCAAACCCAGAGGAGTGATTCTTGGTCTCAAGGACTTGGCAGGATAGGACTGCACTTAATGAAACGCTGTCTTCGTAAGGGAGCACGTATCAGGCGACAGCTGAGGGGTAGAGAATGAAGCGAGTAAAGCTGACGAAGAATTTGCACTCGCTGTGGGCTGGCAGAACCGGCCAACGGGCCTGGGCTGTGTCAGGACCACCTCACAGTCTCCTGCCGGCCCGTGTCCCACGGCTCTCACCTGCCGGCGAATATCGTTTTGATGCGTCTGTAAAGTCCTGTTGCCTTAGCCCAATCTTAACAGCCCCTCAGCGGAATTCATCAGACTTGACCACGTCTGTGCCCTGCTGATCTTCCAGTTTGCCCCTTTCCCTGACAGGAATCTCGGTTTCGAGTGTCTTTGGCAAAGCGTGTCCATCTTTGTCCCTTCGCCCTGGCATTTCACCTCCTGGCACGTGAGCACTCTTGTCATTCTGTGACTACCGCCTGCTGTAAAAATGAAGTTGAAACTTGCTGTTTTTAGAATGAGTCTTTCTCAGGCTTGTTCTCAGACATTTGTTTCTTCTGGGCCTCTCAGGACTCTGCTTGTCTAGTGTAGTTACAATGAAAAGAGCTCTGTTCATAGAGCACTTAGATTAGAGCCTTAGCTCTGTCACTAGTTACCTAATCTCAGCGGGGCGTGGTGGCTCATGCCAGTAATCCCAGCACTCTGGGAGGCCGAGACAGAGGATTGCTTGAGGCCAAGAGTTTGAGACCAGCCTGAGCAAGAGCGAGAGAGACATCATCTCTACAAAAAACAGAAAAAATAACCAGTGAGGTGGCGCCTGTAGTCCAGGCTACCCGGGAGGCTGAGGCAGGAGGATCACTTGAGACCAGGAGGCTGCAGTGAGCTAGGCTGACGCCACTGCACTCTAGCCCAGGTGACAGAGCGAGACTCTGTCTCAAAACAAACAAAAAACCTAATCTCACCCAAGTCGCTTTACCTTGCTAAGCTTTTGGTTTCCTAATATGTAAAAAGGGAGAATGTTCACGGAAATTTGTGGTGAGGTAGGCATCTAACGAAACACAGCGCAGCACGTGAAACACCTAACTCACTGGAGCAGATCAGTCCCAGGTACGTCAGTGAACTCTGTGCTCTGTGGGTGTGTAGCTCAGTCACCACCAAGATGGTAAAACACACGTGTTTTTGAAGCTCTTTTCAAATTGTCATTTTTAAGGTATCGCCATTATTCTCTAATTTGTTCTTCCTTCAGACGGGCGTTTCTGTCTCGTACTGCAGACTGGGACGGGCCAATCTGGACGCCAGTGTCTTCACCCTAAAACGGGGGCAGTAGCGTAGATCCCCTACTCGAGAAATGCTCGTTTCACAAGCATCTTAATTTCCTGAAGCCTGAAAGGTTTTCTCGTTTCACTGCCGGTGTCCCTTGCCCCTGCCCCCACAGATCCCTCTAGGAATCAAAACCCAGCATTTTGCCTGATTAGTATTTGCCATCTACTGATCCAACGGCAAGATTAACCGGCTCCTTGGAGCATCAGGGGCGTGATTCTCGCCGTTGGGCTGTGACGTACGTTCTGGAAACCACTGTAGTGAAAAGAAAGAAAACATTTATCTTGTAGCTAAACCAGACTTACTTCTTGAGGTCTCTCGAAACATTAAGTTCTATGGTTTTGCGACGTGGTCCTGCCTCTGTAACTTTCTGTGTATATTTTTTTCTTTCATATAAAACACTTTTCCTCCTTACCTTTGCCAGCCTGTTCATTCCATTCAGTGTCTCGCTGCAGCATCCGCCTCTGGAAGGAATCTTCTCTAGTAAGCTTCATGCCGTGTTGATAACCTTTCTTTTGAAAGGGTATGATTGCAATTCTGTATTGTTAATATTATTAGTCTGTGGACTGGACCTACTTTTCCATTATTAGGAATATTAGTTTATTAATGGTCATTTATGTAGGTTTTCGTCTCTGATCAAAAAGTTTAAACTTTTAGTATATTTAATATTTTGGCATTTTCACCCTATATTTTGTAAATGTCTTGAACAGAAGGACCGTCTCTTCCATTTCTTTTGGGTGGATCTCGCAGCGTCGATGATGGCAGCACGCGGTCACCGGGTGGAAGGCGCGGTGATGGGGAGATGCTGCGTGGCCACGACCTATTCCAGGGCGTGCGCGAGGGCAGCTTCCCAATAAGTGTTCGTCAGTGGAGCAGCTTCTGTTGCTCTTCGTTATCCGGACCTGCAAGTCCAGGGTCTGTCCCTCGCCTCCCTCCCTCCCTGCCGGGTCTCTGATCTCCCCCAAGAATTCAAATTCCTGTCTTTTGCCTTCTTAGTCTGTGCCTGCCATCTAGTGATCAAAAGGGCAACTGCACATTTAACGAACCCCTTAAAACATTCTGTGCACCAGCAGTTCTTTCATGTCCTTGTGCTTGCCTGATGGTTCCACCACAGGGCCTTTGCAAATACTGTTACCGCCTCTTGTCTTCTCCTTAGTGCCCACTAACCCTTCAGAGCCCAACTCAAGTACCTTTCAGGGAAAGGCTTCCCTTGACCTTCCAGATTAAGTCAACTTCTGAAGTGTTTTCTTAGCAATCATAGCTTAGTACAGATTAATTACAGTCCAAATAAATAAATAGACATCGTGAATAATATGCCTGATAGTATCAGAAAATCCTGGAACAGGATGCTAGACATACCCAATGTTCCTTTGAAAGGACGACAATAATTTTTTGCCCATTTCAAAGTCTTTTACAGTTTTCCTGACAGTCTTCCTCTCTTGTGAGCAGAATAATTTCAACGATCATTTGTGATCACAAAAGCAAGGCTGTTCTCATTAGATTTGACCTGATTATTTACACTGGGCAACAAGAAAGTTAATTCACCATCGAAGCCGCCTTGAGTTTGCCTTGTAAATATAGAGCCATGTAGTGTGGACTAGGAAGGCTGCAGGATTTACTTCTTTGTATAAATTTTCATAAGAAACTTATTAATAGGATTGGGCTTGTAAAAGTCTCTGTTATTTGCTATTGTTAGGCTAAGAAACTAAGCCCAGGAAACGTTTCCTCCGTATGTTTTACCTGAATATTAGGGTGAGTTCCCCTTGAGGTTCTCCGAATTTGCTGGAGTTCCTGCCTGCTAGGGACGGGCCTTCGCTGCCCCTGTAGGGCTGGGCTCGAGGAGGCACCCTGCAGGTCTTCCTGGGAGGGAAAGAGCACTGGCTTGTCACAGCTGCCCCTTCGGATAGCGCCTGGGTTGCACAGTCTGTCCACTGGTATCTGGAAATAAAGACAATAAAGGACGCGGAGCACTGCCGAACCAGGTCACCCCGCGGGATCTTCTAGACAGCACCCACGAGTCCACCCATTGGGCACCCCGTGGTCTTCTGCGGTTTTCCTGGAGCTGACGCGCAGCACATGTGCGCTGGGGTCTCGGGTGTGAGAGACAGACCAGCAAGGTGCCTGCCGCACCGTGGGGGACTAACCACGATCACAGGTGCTGTGTGTTAAGTCTCATGACTGATGTACATAAAGCAGCTCTAGGGACACACGGGGGCCGATAGATTGGTCGGTTGGTAAGGAAGTATTTCCTGAAAGGGAAACCCTCAAGCCACAGTGCGAAGGATAACGAGGAAAAAAAGTTTTCATGACACAACAGCCAAGGCAGAAGACACTGAGAATCACACTAGAAAGGAGGTGGTGGTGTCGGGACACAACCTGTGTGGCAGGGAAAGCCCTGGCCAGTCCCTCTGTGCAGAGGTGAGGAGCATGAGCTTCACCCCGAAAACTGTAAGGAGCCATTGAAGGGTTTAATTCATATAGGGGTATAGCATGATTATGAATAAATTTGCCTTTAAATAGATCACTCTGTCAGCAGTTTAGAGACTGTAGCATTCTACAAGGCAGGAAAATAGAGGTTCAGCTCTGGGGTAGGCAGTTACTGTATATCTTTAAATGAGAATAGTTTGTATAAACAGACAGTGGGGAGGGGCAAAAGGGATAAATGTAAGAGTGGAGCTTTTCTTGTAGAGGAATCGGGGCCTTTCAGGCCCTGGTAAATGAACAACAATCTGGATGGAGCTGGAGACCGTCCCACCAAGTGAGGTATGGCAAGAATGGAAAAACACACACGTCTCACTATCAAATTGGAACTAATCGATCCGCACTCGTGCCCAGATGGAAGGAAATCATGCGGGGGGGGGGGTCCGGAGTGAAACCTAATGGGCGCAACAGCTCTGTCTGGGTGATGGGCACACAGCTTTGAGCCAAACAGCACAGAAGGAATCCGTGTGACCCACACATTTGCAGCCCTGTGATGCTCTGAAATAAAAGAAATGCAGAAACCGAGGCCCCAGAAGAGCCACAACAAATTTCTGAGTGACTCGTACACACACCAAGGTTGGGGGGTTTGAGCAGCACCGCTTTAAACAGCTGGGGTGGGGCAGGGTGTGTGTGGGGCGTGGGAGAAACGGAACTGGCACGTACTGACGCGCGGCTGGGGCGTGAGCGACTGTCAGTCAAGCGTCTAAGTCAGGGCCTCGAAGCCGGTGGCTGCACCTGTGCGTGTTCAGTCCAGGGATCTGCGTCTCAGTTATGGGTGTGAGGAGCTACGAAGTACCGAGTTAAATATTATCTGATTTCCTCCCATCCTTCCTGCCCCGGTTGGTCAGGTTGTTGGATAACACTCAACAACCTGAATGCATATTTACTTTTAAGATGTTCCTTACAGAATCACGTTGTTCCTTTATTAATAAAAGTTACTGTAGAGACTTGTGTTAAACTGCTAATGCCAATCTATTTTCTCTCTCTCTCCCTAGGCCCGCTTAAAAAGACCTCTTAGGAGCCTCGACAGTGCTCTGGACGACGAGGACGAGGAGGACAGTGAGCGAGCGAGCAAGTACGTGGCGGATTTCCGCGTCCTGCTGAGGGGTGGGGCTCCCTGGAAGAACTTTAGGTTACTGAGGGTATTTCAAAGAATGCAGCCCTAGAACTCAGATTTCGCTTCCTTACAATGTCCGTCAGCAAAGGAACCAGTGCTCCTTGGAATGTCGTGGGGATATCTTGGGACAGGAAAGCAAGACGGGCCTGAAGTAGCTTGTTCTTGGGAGAGCAGTGATGTGTGCAGAGACCTCTGGGACAGTGCTGAAGGGGACAGCTCACCTCAGTCGGGCTCCGACCCTCGTGCTCAGAGGGGAAGGTAGAGCAGCGATGAGAGTCAGTGGGAACAGACTGAACCGGGGGCGTGGCGGGTCTCAGGCCATGGTGATAACAGAAGAGGAATATTTAGTAAAGTGTTATTTTAATATGAGAGAAATGAGGACAAGATGGATTTTTCCTGCGTTATTTCTCTATGTGAAGGAATGTGCATTCTTCTGTAATGTAAGTGAATAAAAGAAAGGAAACCATATAAAGTACTGAAAGTGAACTCGGGTTGCAGCAAACTTCCCGAGTGTCCAATCTAATATTCCTAGAGTGATAGTCCCCAGTTCCACAGCATTAGCCTGTGTCAAAAGCCCTACTTCTACCTTCAGATCGATGAGGTATGAAACTTTGCTTGTTCTTAGTGCACGTACTTGAAATTTCCAGTAATCAAACTGATGTATGCATCACTTTAAAGAATTTGATAATGAACCAGTTATCAATGTTGTTCTTGTTCCAATGAAATATCGCTATGATTGAATGTGGCTGGTGGTGTGTTACTGACAGGCGGCGTGTGTGTTCCAGGTTGTCTTCTGAAGACGGGGAGGAAGCTTCTGCTTACCTTTATGAGAGTGACGACTCCGTGGAAACCAGAGTGAAGACCCCGTGCTCGGGCGAGATGGACCTGCTGGGCGAGATCCTGGACACGCTGAGCACGCACAGCTCGGACCGGGGCGCGCTGGCGGCCGCAAAGAGCCTGGACTTCTTTAGATCGATGGATGATATTGATTACAAACCTACGGTTGGTTGATTTTTCGACTTATTAAAAGAAAACATTCCTGTCCTTGCTGTGATTTCCTGATCTTACACTCTTACCTGTTTGGAGGTTAAATACTTCTACCCAATTTTAAGTGTCAAAACATTTGAAATATGGTAAAATTTGATCACTAAGAATTATTTCCAGCAATAAAATCTCAATATTTTCCCTTCCACTTACCCGGTTCCGGTGGTGGTCGACGTGAACCGAAATTCTTTGTCAGGCGGAAGTGTTTCTCGCGGTCCAGTTTCACAGTCATCTTCTCTGGGTGAATTTTTAACCGTGAAAAGGTTCCACTTCTTTTTCTTTAGTTCCTGGGTTTAAAAAAATTTTTAACATATGTATTCATTCACGTCATTTTATTTCCATTTTATTGCTTCAAAAATGAGTATCTTAAACAAATTGAACTAAATGCTTTAAAACAGGAAATGCAGACGTACAAGCGGCGGCAACGCCGTTCTGAGTGGAGGCAACTCCAGGACTTGGCATCAGTAACATGATCTGATTCGAATTTGGCAGGGACCGTCGCAAAGTCCATCCCATCCCGCCCCTGTTACTAGGGCCGCAGCAGGCGTTCGATAAACTGCCGATGCTTCGGGAGGGACGTCAGGTTCCCAGCCTCAAAAGACACTGACACTGACTGCAAGTGGAAAAAAATCACTAAATTAATGCTTATTAAGTGTTCTGAATTTGTTGTTGCTTCTTTCAGAATAAATCCAACGCCCCCAGCGAGAACAACCTGGCCCTCCTGTGCGGAGGTTCTGGGGACCAGGCAGAGTGGAACCTGGGCCAGGACGACAGCGCCCTCCACGGCAGACACCTGCCCCCGTCGCCCAGGAAGCGGGTGTCCTCTGCTGGGCTGACCGACTCTCTGTTCATCCTGAAGGAGGAAAACAGTGAGCGACAACTCAGTGCCGACGACGGGGGTGGCCCCCCTGGGACGGAAAAGGCAGCCGCAGCTTCGGGATCGGATTTCCAGCTCGCGGCCCCGGAAGTTTCCCAAACCGATGAAGGAACGACAGAAGAGAAGGAAACACTAAGCCAGATTTCAGATGATCTGCTCACACCCAGCCTGGGGCGCCACCCGTCTACCTTTGTTCCATGGGAAAAAGAAGGGAAAGAAGCCAAAGAGACGCTGGAGGATTCCGGACTGCTCCACGAAGTCGTGTCCTTGTGTCGTATGGCGTCTGACTTCCAGCGGAGCTTGAACATTTCAGAAGAAAACACACGTGGAAACCAAGCTTAAGTCTTGCACCCAGCTTCCATGGAGACGTTCGGGGATTCCACGTAATCTGAATAATAAACAGAATTATTTGTAGGAATGACAACTCTTACTACTATTTAATTTTTTTCATTGGGAACGTATATTTCCCCCACTTGTTCATTTCATGGATATATGTTATCCGTTGATTTTTAAATATAAAGCAGATTATTCTACTGTGCTCTTAAATCAGGTACTAGTATGTATGTGTATGTATGTATTGAACATATGATTTCCTAGTATTTGGTGCTTACTGCCATTCGTTTTATTTAAACTGAGTATGCAGATGTAGCCCATGCACTTAACCAGTAGCTACTGCACCAATCTGGTTGGGCATGAACTGATCAAGATATCAAAACTAGCCTGAAACTGATGAAACTGTTAACCCACTAATTGCCTTAATCTTAAAGCTGTATTAAGCATACTTACATAATTTATGAAATTACATGTAAAGTTTGAAGGATAAGTTATTGGTGTTCAGAGCAATAATGACTTTTTCTATTCATCAAATCAAGGTCAAAATTCATTTTTTTCAAGATTAAAAAGTTCTTTTGTGGGAATAATTTGCTTATATAAGGGCATTGTAGCCATGTTTTCTGAAAAATATAAAGGTATATACACTTACCTTTTATTCAGTGAAATACATGAAGTGCTGAATTACAATGTGAAGTTAATGACTTCTGTTTACAAGTGAGACACTTTAGACTTTTCCCGGTCTCTGTCTGCCTTCGCTCTTACGGGTCCACCCTGAGAAAGCCAAATGCAATATAAACTATCCTGATGAAAAATTTTTTTTTCTTAACTAATAATTATCAAAATGTTTCATATCATCTCAAATTTACTTTTTAAAAATAATTTGTATTTTACAATTTCTGATTCACAGAAATATGACAAAGGCAGTACATAGAGAAATAACAGTGACGTGTGGGAACTGTTATTAGCGCGGTACGTTTGTCATAATTAATGAACCAACACTGACGCTAGATCATACCCGAGTCACAGCTTCTTAGTTTCTCCCTGGTGGCCGTTCTCCGTCCCGAGACCCTGTCCAGGACACCACGTCACATTGAGCTGTCCTGCGCCCCTTGGCGGTGGCAGCTTCTTAGACGGTGCTGGGTCCTAGCGGCCTTGCCGGGAGGGGACTGTCAGACGCTGTGTAGGGTCCCCCTTGTGGGGTTTTTCTGGCATTTTCCTCACGATTAGACTGGGATCGTGGGTTTTGGGGAGGAAGCTCACAGAACAAAGTGCCATTTGTATCAGGTTGTGTCAAAGGTACGTGCTGTCAACGTGATCTGTGAGTTTGATGCTGACCCGGCTGCGGTGGCGTTTGTTAGGTTTCTGCATCTAAAGTCACTCTTCCCTGCCCCGCCTTCTGTACAGTAGTTTCCAGAAGGAAGTCACTACAATCCCCTAAGGAGAAGAGACTGTGCTTCCCTCCTTTAGGGCAGAGGAGCATCTACATGGATTATTTGGAATTCTCCTGCCTTGGAAATTTGTCTCTTGCTTTCCAAATTCACTGTAAGCTTGGAATTCACCCGAGCAGGAGTCCTGTACTGATTGCTTCACAGTAGACTAGATTGACAGATATAATTAGGGAAAACACAGTGACATGATAGTTAAATTTGTTATTAGTATGTTCAGAATATCTACTCTATACACCCCCCCATCGTGATTATTTTTTTAAAACTGTCTTTTTAGAAAAGATGTTTGAGAAACTATCCAGGAACCCAAAAAAAACTGTATTCTAAAACATTTGCTGAAAGAATATAATTTCATTTAAAATCCTAGAAGGGGGTTTTGTTAAAAACATTGCTTAAAAATATTTATTCAGGTCAGTCTTTAAAGAAAATGACCAAGTTTTTTTAAATCTACTTTTCAAGATCTAAATGAATATGTTTTATTTGAGACAATTATTCATTCCTGATTATGAAGAAAGATGGATCTTGTTTTCCTTATAAGGATAGACTCTGTCTATTAAGTAAAAAAATCTTTAATCCTTATTTTTTTTTTTTTAACACAGAAGACTGAAAGTTCTTGTCAAATTTTGCTTTTATATGATCATTACAAAATTCCAACTTACTTTACTGAAGTATATAATAGAAGGAGCCCATATATCAAAAGAACCGTTTTAAACGAGAAGGAAAAAAGTTTACTCTGGTTGTTAATCTGCTTGGCAAATATTCTTCATAATTTGTGAAAAGAATGTAAAGCAGCCTTTTAATATGAATTTGGAAATGAAGTGGGTTTTTTTTATTTTCAGAACTCACGCTCTGGAGAATGAGATAACCGTTGAGTGTAGAATAGGCCAAATTTGAGTTTTAATCCATTTACGTAATAAACATCACGGCCTCAGAAATCTAAACTATTTTTCTATCTTTGTCACCTCACAAGACGTTTGGCTATAATACTGTGCTGTTTGAGGATATTTAGCCTCCCGCAAATAACGTAATTTTGCCTCAAGGTATTTTTAAGTGATTTGTGCCTTATTTTAATATGCAAAATTTGCTGTTTTATTCTGTGTTAAAAACAAAAGTAAAAATAAAAACTCTACATATTATTCTTGAAAAAGATCCAGAATACTGCTAGCAAGTATTGATGATTCAAATCATTAAAATTCTGAGTATTCGAAGACTTCTCTTAAACTAGACTTCCCAGTACTGTGGTGGGTAGAGCGAGAATGAAGTGAAATTAGGGTGAGTTCTGAAATAAATGAAAGTGTTATCTTATTTTCTACGATGCCCATATTTTCTATTGTAACTAAACCAAATATTTAAAAGCTCCTCTGCTGTTTGAAATTATTTTTCAAAGAAGCAACACCTGTTCTACAACAGAACTTTAATAAGACTTTGGGTTTGGTACACAGTCTTTTGTGCGGCCCCTAAACCGAGTCATGGCTCCCACGTTTATCCTTTTGCCCTCAGATGTTGCACCCATGGCATTTCCGGGGGATGGGGAAGTAGTGTATGAATTTAGGGGCTATTGTTTTGTTAAGTGAAAATGTTGCTAAGTGGTATATTTTGATAGTTACCTATTTTGGCATATCTTAGAACGGTACCAAATATAGCATGATTATTTTCTTGATTAAAAATTACTAACTCATTCACTTAGAAAATACTTTTTGTACCAATCTTGTGCAAGGTACAGTAACTGGGGATGAGAGGAAGTAAAATATTTGACATAGTCTTTGCTCTGAAGGAACCAAGTAAAGGACAAGGAATTGCCAATCTATTAAAAATTACAACAGCAGCGCCAACAGCACCAACTTTGCTTAGAAGTAAGTTATTAGCCCAAGATTCTAACACTGAAAAAAAAGTTTGTTTTTATGGCTGCTTAACTTAAAGCATACTCTAAGAATTTCTAATTTTATTAACTTTCTCAATTATCATGCTAAGTATAATAACGCTGCTAAGATATCCACTTTTAAAGGACAGATTCAGATTCTCTTGTAGATGCCGAGTGTCTTTGTCTGAAAATCTACCAGATAACCAGACAGCGCCGGGCTCTCCGTGTGGGAGCGAGGCTCAGCACGCAGGGCCCTGCACTCGGGATGCGGACGCATGTCAATGGGAATCCAGCTTTTACTATTTTTAATTCTGATGACAGCATTCTCTAGAAACAGTCACTCCCTTTTAAGTTAAAACTGTATATGGCAGTGCTGTTATTAGGATCCTGTGTTAATATCCGAATAATAGGATCCAGGAATGATAGACTCCTGATCAAGAGACGAAAACTGTGAATATTCTTACAATCAGTAGATCTTCATTCTCTTCTAGAAAATTTGGATTTTCAGGAAAAGATTATTTTGATGAATAAATTTTCTAATATGAATTCCACTTGTTTTGGTATGCATAAAAGACCTAAATCTGAGAAGGTATTTGTAAATCAGAAAAAAAATGAATTCCGAGATCTAATTTTCTCTGAGCACTTCTCAATGCAAGAAGAGCTCTACAAACCCCGTGTCAGGCCTGGTGTATTTCCTCTGTCAAGCCCAGTAATACTGTTAGTGTTTGTTTCTTGAAGCTTATTTAAGAGGCAGAGTGGTTTTGACCAAACCAGTTAACCTTATGATTTGGTGAAGAAATAAGGAATTCTGTACATTTAGAGGCATTTTATTTTGAAAATAGGATTTCGTGCAATATTTTTTCTTGCATCATTTAGTTCATACAAGTATGCACATCTGCTTTCCTGGCAGAGGCCTTAAGGTCGTGTTTTTCAGTATTTGCGTAAAACTGTATGTAGCAATGTTCTTTGTGATTTTAGAAAAAATATATTCTTTATATTGTTGGCAAGAGAAATGTTTTTGTTTATTTAAAATAATCATGGATATTTGTTATTGTATCATAACCCACTGCCTCAGCAACCGTAAATATGCAACAAGAAAATCCTATACCTTAGATGAGTGTTGACAATACTGTTACTTTAAAAGAAATGTACATGGTACAAATTGCCGATTCTACATGTGTGCACTTAGCAGGTACTCGGTTCTGCGCCACATCAATCAAAATGCTGTTTGTAAGGTGATGACCACATATGTAGATTGTAATATCCTTTGTGATGAATCTTTGCTACAATTTATAAAGGGCATTGCCAATACTTTTTGGCTGTAAATTAAGTTAATTTTTTGTATCATGTACAGTTTGTTTAACCTTAGAGCTTCTATGGATTTCTACTTTTATTATACTTGAATGAGGCAGGAAAGCACTGTGGAAAATCTGTAGCTCTGGATGCGATATACAAACATACCAAAAAAATAAATAAAGGTACTGAACAGCAATGGTAACAGAATGCTTTACATCCAGAAAGCTATGTTTTTTTTCAAGCCACATTTTAGTTATTAAACGAAGTGATTGAAGATACACAATTTTTTAATCTTAAAATGTTGCAAAATCACCAATGATTACCTCCTTGATATGATGAACCTATAAGTCTATTCATCTTTGTTATTTCAGTTCTCAGATTAAAGCCTGGTTGAGGTGCATTAACAAGTATACCCTCTGCTCGATTATGTGATATTTGGGTTGAGAGAAAATTAGAAAACTGTGCATGTTAAATGCATCACATGTCAAGTTACCACCCTTCAGGTAGTGTAAGTCCCATAAGGTTATTTTTGAGAACCATTCAGTAATCATATACCAAAAACGAGGTTTCTTGAATCTGTTACTTTAGTGCTTTTAGCAGTGCCTAAAACAGCAGCAAATGTGAACTGCATGACTCTGTAACTTAAAATGCATAAAGCTCTTTTACATAAAAGCCACAAAAGGGGTTCAAAATCGAACTTTTTCTTTTGCTTTAGATGAAGAACTGTTTAAAAGGACTGAAATCCTGAGCTTTTTTGCTCAGCTTGGTAGCAGATGTCTGCAAAAACCTCCCCAGCATTGAGATTTGCTTCATGGTTCTTGCATCCTTGAGACTACAGTATAAATCATCTCCAAAGCTGACTACTGTTGGGAAGGCATTGT